CCCGTTGTGCCTTGGGGGGAGGAAGCCCTGCTGGAATTGGGCTGGCGGGTAGACGGCATCGGGCGGGGGGCCGCCCACGCGCCCCAGCTGCAGGGCGCCCGGCCGGTGGCCGAGGCCGGTGACGTGGGTCGGTCCTGCACACGCCTGCTTCTCTGGGGTGGCCAGCCTGTGCCCGCGGTGCTCGCTCAGTCCCACGGCCGGCTGGGGAAGAGGGAGAGAGGGGGATTGGGTGGGTCTCAGTGAGAGCCATCGCACCAAGGAGCAGAGGGGACTTGCGGGTCTCCGGGGTGCTGGATCCCTTGGCTGCAGCGTTTCTTACCTGCATGGCAAAGTGCTGGTGCTGCTGGACCGGGTCTCCGGGATGGGGCTCAGGCACTCGCGGCGAGCTGTACAGTTTCGTGGGATCCGATCCGCGCAGGGGACCAAACGTTCCTGGCACGGCTGGTCTCTGGGGGATGAGGAGGAGTGCGGGAGGGAGAAAAAAAACAATTTGTGAAGCGCAGAAAAGCAGCAGAACTGCTGCAGGTGAGGGGAAGCCAAGGCTGGAGGAATCACACAGATAAGCAGATGGGCTTTTTTGGAGATACCTGTAGTCTCCTTCCTACGAGGTGACACAGCTCCCCTTCCAAAGCCACTCTCTTACACCCCAGCCACACATCCCTGCGCTCAAGGTTGCAATACACTCACTTGCCACCCAACTACCTGGGAGAAAGCAAGACGACTGGAGGGGGCAGTCGTTTTCTCCAAGGAGAGGAGCAGACCACAAGTGTAAGCAAGCAGGATGATGGGGGAACGTGCTGGATTTCCTTCAAAATACTCATTGCCTCGAGCTCTCCTACTCCCTCCCACTATCTGCATCACAAGAATCACTCTAAAAATTTTGTTTGATCTCTAGCTAAAAGGCGAGGGGTAGCCTGGATCTCAGAGGAGCAGCTGATATGCCACACCACAAGACATCACTGGTTAAAATGGAAAAGGCAGTGAAGGATGGATGAGGAACAGCCCAGAGGGGAGGCAGAACAGGTGGCATTCAGAGAAGAGATGCTGGGCTAAAGGGAAGTCACTGCTGCAGTCCAGGGTGGCCTTGTGTTTGTTTTTTTTTTTTTTACTGCTTTTATAAATACTCAAGGCACGAAATGCAGTAGTACACAGATGGCACAAAGTTACCAGGCATCTGTAAACAATTGAGACAAAAGAAGACCAGCTTGTTCAGCATCATAAACTGGAGGTTAAGAGAGGAAATGTGACTGCTTTCCATGCACAATGGGGTAACTCTCCAAGGAGAGAAGACAACCAGGGGAACCAGGGCTGGCGCAAGCCCACACGGGGACATGCCGGCCATGGGAAACGTTAGGGAGACTCTTCCCAGCCAGTGTGGCAAAGATTGAAACTCTACCAGTTTAAATCTAAGGGCTGAAAAGTTTCAGTTGTAGAAACCATAGCCCTGACCCTTAATCTCTGGGAAAAGGTTCTTGCCACACAATAGGGATTTCACAGGAGAGAGCTTCATTCCCCTTTACCTCCCTCCCTCCACAGGCCTGATGGGTGAAGAACAACAGAAACTACTCCTTACCATCTGGCCGGGATGTGGCACAGGGCTGGGCATGCCACCGTATTGCAGAGAGCGAGGGAAACCTCGCCCATTGGAAGGGCCCACTTCTCGAGGAGGCTGCATTGGGTTGCCACTTGGATCCTCTGCAGAGGACGAGGAGAAGGAGGAGGAAGAGGAAGAGGAGGAAGAAGCAGGAGCCCTGGAAGTAGCTCGATATGGTGGAGGTTTTCCTCCATTTTCCAGGCGTTGCTGCCTCTTGCCTGGTCCATCTGGGTCTCGTGACCGAGTCCAAACACTGCCTGTGCTGGAGCGGCCAGTCCGACGGCTCCTCTTCTCTCGTCTTCCATCCTCCCTGATCCAAAACTCCTCATCTGTGTCTCCATCTTCCCCAGGGAAGTGCTTCATCATTGCTCGGTGGAAACACCTTTCTAAGTTGTAAGCCATCTTGGTATATTCTGCAGTCAGAAAAAACCCAATAACATCAGGGACAGAGCCTTATAGAGAGAAACAATTAAGTAACATCAGACTTTCACCATCAGATAAATCATATCCCTTCCACAAAGTTTCTTTGAGGAAGACTTTTGTTTCTAACTAGTCGACTTTGGTTTACATTCTTAAACTTGATAAGCAACGCAGCATCAGATTTGTTCGGTAACCCCACCAGAGGACAGGCACATAGGCATGACAAAGTACCATTAGCAGCATGGCCTGCAGCATCAGCATTAACTCAGTGTTCCAGCATACTGCCAAGAATTACATTACGAGAAGCACCACTTCTGCTCGCAGAGGTGCGTGACCTGCACAGTTAGCCAGCAGTGCTGAGAGAAGGAATGTGAACTTCCAGCAATGCTATTTGATTACGTTCAGAGGCTTTTCTTGGACACGTTCAACTCTCTGCTGTATGCTACAGAGGAAAATCAGCAAACATGTTTATCCATGTACAGTTTCTAAAGCATTTGCTGATCCTGACATGAAAGCTATTGCCAACACCAGTGTCCTCATTGCATCATTTCCAGAGGACAGTTCTGCTCGGAGGGGCTCCTACTTTTCATTGGAGTGGATAGGAAAGAAAAGACATATGAGAGGTGTTAATGACAAGGGCTTGAATCAAATGACTTTACAGTTATTTCCACTAAACTAACCCTGAAGTTCCTCAGGAAACAGAGCTTTCCCAGTGGCAG